GCGGAGAGATCCCCGGAGGCGGCCGGCGAGCGCGACACCGCGCCCGCGCCCGCGCCCGATGACGCGCACGCGCCCGCCAGCGACCGCGGCCGCGTCGCACGCACGATTTCCAAAACCGACCCAAAAAGGCAAGTTTCGGAAACGGTGCGAGAGAGCAGAGCAGAGCCGGAAGAGATTGCGGAGGACATAGGGATGCCAACACCGGCTGCTCAGAGGTACCCCGCGCGTGAGAGACACGCGCCTGGGGAGTGGTATCGCGCATGTCATGCCGTGTGCTGTCGTTGCCGTGAGGGCTCGGCTATAGGGCTTTATGCCCATGCTAGTTGCTAGATGCCGCCACTTGGCCGCCCATCCTAGTTAGACCCCACCTGGGGCTCGCCAATCCCAGAGGGATCCCCGCATAGATTGCCCCATCTTAGTGCACAACCGCCGTCAGTAACGGCCGGGCATGCGCTTAGTGCCATCGCCACTTGTGCACAACGCAAGTACCGCGCTCGGTACAAACAACCAGGCACTCACACGTTTGCCGTTCTTCCGCTACGGCACTTACCTTGGTTGCGTACTGTTCGTTGGGTACTCGGGCCTGTACGCGGTACATCCGCGTCCTATTTTTACCACGTTCGCGCGACTCCGCAGCGCATATTCCGCCGACCGAATTATTTACGAGGATCGACATCCTATTTTCTTCCAAGGCGCCATCGACTCCGCCTTATTGTTCGCACTGGCCACTAGGGGTAGTTTGTACTTCGATTAGACTTTGAGCAGACTTCTAGATCGAAGTAGACCCTTAGAGACTAGACTTTTGACTATAGGCTAGCAAATTCCGTCGTACCCTATAACCTTGCGAACAAACGCTCATTCTCCAACTTAGTGCAAGTTGGGAATTGGACTTTCGACGTTCCGCTGATAGAGTAGCCCTACGCTCTTGACACTGACCCGACTTAGCCATTATCTTCTTCACGCTTCCCTCGCTCCACTCGCCTCAGCCTGTGTCAAGTACTTTTGTACTTGCGCTAAGTTCCGCAGGCAGGTACACGGAGGAGTTGCTGAAGCTGCTTGAAGACCACTGGAGCCAGCCACAGGGAACAACACTGTACCTTAGATGCCAAAGCTACCACCAGCCCTGTTACGAGCTCGGGGAGGAGCTCATACGTTGCAGACCGCCGAAGGGAGCAGAGACCAGCTCACAGGGACAGCCAAGGTAACCCGATTACGCTTGCTTGTCGCCTTTCGCTAGCTTGTTCTTGCTTGGTGACGCCGGCAATCCCGGGTCACATTGTGCTTGTGGTTGCGTCTTTTGGTGAATTGCTAGCTGGAATTTCAGCGGGGAGCTGAAATCACTGTAGCAATCTCACATGTCCTTTGAAAATCCTCTCAATCCAGCTTGCGTTGCTTGTGATTGCTTGGGGTAGGCATTTCTACTACCGATAGAATTGCTTGTTTTGCGGGGTTGGAGCCATCGCAGAATGTTGTGAGCAGGGTTGCATTGCTATGCTTGCTGCTCTTGCTCTGAATTCTTGCTTGCATGCGCTGTTTGTTTGCTAACAAATCGCTGCAAGGGGTTGCATTGAAAAGGTGAGTAAATTTCTCCCGAGCTTGATGACGAATCGCTGCGGGGTGTTTTCTTTGTGCTGGAATCTGACTGAGGGTGCAATAGGGCCTGCTTGATGTGTCTCAGCTGCTGAATGCATTGGGGGCTGCTTGAGGGGTGCATTGTCAGGTTTCTTCGCTTCGCTGTTTTGAGTGCCAGGACTGTTTGGGTCTAGGTCTGGTTAGGACAGTGGTTGAACTCTTAACTTCTGCGCATCGCCTTCAGACCAAACATGAGTCCTAGGTAGAGGGGGACCTGCTGGACACGTGGGTATGCTTTGCTTCCATTCTGCTTAGGTTTTCCGCGCTCTCGCTCTTTGTTTCTGGGGCCTGTTTTGACTATAAACTGTCGCTGAAATTCAGGTTAAGAAGATCAGTTCCAGCATAACCAGGGGTTAGCATTTCTTGACCAAGCTTGGGTGGTAGATAGATCTTGACCTTGTCTACTTGTTTGCGGGGGTGCGCGCTGACTTTCTGTTTGCCTACGCCTCGTGGAACTCGTTCTTTAGGGGGGGTCAAATCTGCTGTGTTACAGAATTTCTTGACACTGTTTCTGGATTCTGCCATTGTCTGAGTCTGTTCTGAATCTGTTGTGCCAATCTGTTTCAAAACACTAATGGCACTCCGGGCTTGCCACCCATTCTTCTTACCTTAGATGTCAATCCGTGACGAACCTGAAGAGGTTGACTACAACGAGAGTGACGAAGACGTCAACGTCGACGAGTACGCCGACGAGGAGGAAGCTCCACCACCTAACCCCGCACCCGTGCAGCCGGCGCCTTTAGCCGCACCTCCGGCTGCCACTCGCCGCCAGCGCCGCCGCGCCAGGCAGCAGGCCCAGCGTGGAGCTGCGCAGCACCGCGCCCACGACTTGAGGGCTGCCGTCGCAGGGAGCACCTCAACGCCCACCACCCGACGCGCGCCGCCCCCGCCTTCCCCACACCACTGGCGCAAGGACGTGTGGCCACCGACCCTGTTGAAACACAGCGTTGTTGGAAGTGATATTCAATCAATCAAGTTCACACAATGTATATGGAGTGTTCCAAGTCACGGCCTATC